AGTTTCTGTTGCTCAGGTATGGGTTTATTTCTTAAAGGCACATTTCCCTTTTTTCACAGATTGAGTTTTTATGCTTTTTTGAGTATAAATATTTCAATTCCTTCCTATATTATGACAGGGAAGATGGACAAATCTTTCTCATCAGACTCTGAGGCTTCCATTCATAAACAAAGGTCACAATCCAAAGGTTATAGGTAAGCCATTATTTTTCCCTCTCTCTATCTAGACCAAACAAAAGAGTGCATGGTTTAATTATATTTCCCTATTATGTCAGCTCTACGGGAATTAAAGCATCCAGAACTTCCAAAGGCAAGTCGCCTATGAAGAAGAGATGCGAAGCCTGCAACAATAAACCTCTGGAAGGCAAGCGTCTCTGCGCAGAATGCCTCTCTACAGCCGCAGGCACTTCCACTACTGCCCCTACTCCAGATATGATGGAGTTTATTAAACAAGCGGTCTCCCAGGGCATCAGAGAAGCTGGCAAGTCCCACAAGAGGCCAAGATTCGCTGAACCCTTGGGGTTTTCTCAGGAAGAATCCTCAGATGAGTCCTTAGACTCCTACAGGGACGGGCTATCCTCCTCTGAAGAAGAATCTTATGCCCCAGAATTCATGGAGCCTGCTCAAGTTGATCATTTAATAGCCAGAGTGCGCAAATCCTTGAGTCTCAAGGAAATTTCCTCTGAGCAACCTTCTACTTCTAGTAGATATTTTGCTGATCTGAAGAAAAAGAGAGCTACGTTTCCAGCTCATGAGACAATTAAGGAACTGATTGAAGACGAGTGGTCTAATACTCGTAAGAAACTGACCTCTCAAGGCAGAGTTGCTCGTCTTTATCCATTTGAGAAAAAAGACTCCAGCTGTTGGGATTCGGCTCCTAAGGTAGATGCGGCCATAGTAAGACTGGCCAAACACACTACTTTACCAGTTGACGACGCAGGTTCATTCAGAGATCCCATGGATAGGAAAATGGATCTGAACCTCACCAAAGCTTACGTGGCTGCAGGCACAGGCCTCCATCCAGCAGTCGCTCTTACCTCAGTTTCCAGAGCTTTAAAGATCTGGATGGAAAATCTAGAGGCAGACATCCAAAGAGGCAGGAGCAGATCCAGTCTTCTAGAAAGCCTAAAAGATATAAAGCTTGCAGTAGACTTTACGTCTGACGCTTCGGTGGATCTGGTTAAAGCCTTTGCCAGAAATATGGCCCTCTCCGTTTCAGCCAGAAGGGCTCTATGGTTAAGGTCCTGGATAGCAGATACCTCTTCTAAATCTAGTTTATGTGCCTTACCTTTCCACGGCGACATGTTGTTTGGGAAAAACTTGGATGAATGTATTAAAAGAGCAGCTGAAGGCAAAAGAGCTTTTCTCCCGCAGGATCGTAAACCCAGAGGTTCCTTTCGATCCAAAAGATATCCAGACTATTTTTCCTTTCGAGATGCCAGATCTTACAAACCTGGAAGAGAGCATGGTAGATCCCAGCCTTGGAGAGGTGGACAGTCATCCAGAGGCGGTAAATCTAGAGGCACCTCATTCCACAAGAACCCCAGATCTTTATGACTGGTTTCCCCCCCAGTCAGTAGGTGTGGGGGCACGTCTGTTGCTCTTCCAAGACGTATGGGAATTATCCACCACAGACAGATGGGTGTTGGATATCATAAGAAGGGGATATCGTTTAGAATTTTTCAGAACCCCTCCAGCTTACTCCTTTCAAACTACCAAATGGCCAGGAGACGCAGCAAAAAGACAGGCCTTGAAAGATTTCATCTCGACGCTCCAGGAAGGAAATGTCATCATTCCAGTTCCTCAGCAACAACAAGGTCAAGGGTTTTACTCTCACCTGTTTCTCACCAGAAAAGCTTCAGGTGGTTGGAGACCTATCTTAGACTTAAGCAGGCTGAATCGGCATCTCCTCATCCGAAAGTTCAAGATGGAATCTATTCAATCCATCATAAAGGTCGTCTTTCCACTCCAATGGATGATTTCTATAGACTTGGCAGACGCTTATTTCCACATCCCCATCGCTCCAGAACATCAGAAATTCCTTCGGTTTGCGGTGGAACAAGGGCATTTTCAATTCCGAGCCCTGCCGTTTGGTCTCAGCACAGCTCCAAGAACATTCTCCAAGGTCTTGGTTGTTTTGATTGCGGAACTCAGGAAAAAGGGCATAGCCATTTACCATTACTTAGACGACATCCTCATCTTGGCAGAAGACACAGATACTCTTCAGACCCATGGACAGGTTTGTCTACGTTTTCTACGCCGTCATGGTTGGAAGATAAACGAGAACAAGAGCCAATTACAGCCGGTTCAGGAGATGAAATATTTGGGGGCCATATTCAACACTCTAGCAGGCACAGTGCAACTGTCTCCAGAAAGAGGTACGAAGTTGATGTACAAAGTCAAAGACATGTTGGCATCCAATGTGACCTCAGCAGAAAGATGCATGAGCCTATTGGGATCAATGTCCTCCACCATCGGGCTGACAAGATGGGCCCAGTGGAGGATGAGGATTTTCCAGAAGAACTTCATCCTTCAATTCAGATCGAAAAGTCCACTTCAGCCTATCAAGATACCCCCACAGGTCCATCAATCTCTGATTTGGTGGTTACAGAAGAAATCCCTGTTCAGAGGGTTTCCATTGGGGAACATAACATGGACAGTTATTACCACGGACGCAAGCCAGTGGGGATGGGGTGCCCACCTACAAGATCAGTTTATCCAAGGGAAATGGTCCTTTCCAGTAACAGAGACTCCCTCCAACCAATTAGAGCTTCTGGCAGTTCTAAAGGCTCTAGAGAATTTCCTTCCCCTCATACGCTTCAAGTGGATCAAGATCAGATCAGACAATTCCACTGTAGTTGCCTACATCAACCATCAAGGGGGAACAAGGAGTCGGAAAATGATGTCCATCATGAAGCCCCTAATGTCCTTCTCCCAGAAGCATCTTGCGGGCCTATCAGCGATCCATCTTCCGGGAGTCCAGAATTCCATAGCGGATTACCTGAGCAGAGTGGAATTAGATCCAGGAGAATGGAGTCTGTCAAACAAGGTGTTCAAAGACATTTCTCAAGTATGGGGCATGCCACAAGTCGACCTTATGGCAACACACAAGAACAGGAAGGTGCAGCACTTCTTTTCAAAAAGCATCGATCCCCAAGCATCAGGAAGGGATGCTCTTTCAATCGATTGGGATTTTCACCTAGGCTACGCATTTCCTCCTACGCCCCTCATCTTTCCTCTTCTGAGACGATTGAGGCAGGAGAAGGTATCCATCATCCTCATAGCCCCCTTTTGGCCTCGCAGGCCGTGGTTTCCTCTGTTGTTGAGCCTCTGCAGCGCAGACCCCTGGCAGCTTCCAAATATTCCGTCCCTTCTACATCAGGGTCCTGTCCTCCATCCAGACCCTGCCTCCCTCAAGCTGATGGCATGGAAATTGAAAGGGAAAGGTTGAACTGCAAGGGATTTTCCCATTCTGTCATTGAAACTCTACTGCAAGCAAGGAAACGCTCTACATCTTCCACTTACTACAGAATCTGGGACGTTTTTTCCTCCTGGGCTGCATCCAACCACAGGAATATTCAGTCTATCTCCACCAAGGAGATCCTTGAATTTCTACAATCCGGTCTTGATAAGGGTCTTAGCTACAATACCCTGAAGGTACATATTTCAGCTCTTTCGGCCCTTACGGACCAGAGATGGGCCTTAAACTCAGATGTGATCAGATTTATGGCAGCAGTTTTGAAAATCAAGCCTCCTATCAAGCCCTTCGCTCCACCATGGGATCTTCCCTTGGTATTAAAGGCTCTGAGCAATTCTCCTTTTGAACCTCTTGAATCCATCTCTCCTCAGGCACTCACCATTAAGACGGTTCTATTGGTGGCCTTAGCCTCAGGTAGACGACTGTCTGAACTCCATGCCTTATCTACGAAAGAGCCCTTTACAGTTTTTCATAAGGACAGAGTTGTTTTGCGAACTGTTCCCGAATTTCGTCCTAAAGTGGTGTCAGCTTTTCACATCAACGAAGATATAATACTCCCGGCTCTTCATTCAGAGTCTTCTACTGAGAATGATGAATCTCTGCCTTCTCCATTGGATCTTGTTCGATGTCTGTCTGTCTATCTACAAAGATCTTCAGCCTGGCGGATCTCTCAAAGGCTATTCGTTATCCCCAACGGCCCCAGAAGAGGCCTTCAGGCTTCTAAGATGGCCATCAGTAGATGGATTGTTGCCGCCATCGTTCAGGCTTACCAAGCCTCAAAGATGAAGGTTCCGGAGGGGCTCAAGGCTCACTCCACGAGGTCCCTTTCCTCTTCCTGGGCAGCAGCTGCTAATTTGTCACCCGAGCTGATTTGCAAAGCAGCCACTTGGTCTTCTCCAAACACGTTTATTAAGCATTACCAGATTGACGTTAAAGCCAGCCAATCAGACTCTTTTGGCAAATCAGTCTTATCCGCAGTCAACTCTTCTTGATTAATTTCTATTGCACGTGTGATTTCTAATACACCAGCATTTAAAAATGTTCTTGAGTCTGTGTTTCTTTATTCCCTCCCTTGGTTATTGCTTGGGTATTACCCATTGTTGTGCTGCCATGGATATGGCCAGGAAAGATGAAAATTTATCCATACTTACCGTAATTTTCCTTTCCTGGTCATAGGCCATGGCAGCACTTAGATCCCGCCCTGGGATATTGCTGTTAACAAGACTAAGGGACCATTGGTGGGAGGGGGTATTTATACCCCTGATTTTAATTCTGTTCCTGTCTAATTAGGGATAGGGAGGAGCTAACCCATTGTTGTGCTGCCATGGCCTATGACCAGGAAAGGAAAATTACGGTAAGTATGGATAAATTTTCATATATATATATATATATATATATATATATACACATAAAACAAGAGGGGGTTGGCTGCACTCACCTGAACATGCATAAATGGGGGTGCTGCTGGGGGCCAAATAATACAATGCAAAGATAAAGTGCAAAAAAAATTTGAGAAATAACCATTAAATCAGGATCTCTGTGAGGTGGAAGTTTCCAAAGCAAGATGTCTTAGCATCTCTTGAATAATCAGATGCCATGATTGAGCCGGTTTCTGCACTGTCCAGGTTGTAGATAATGGTGGCAATGGATAAATACTGCTCTTCCCTGTCCGTGGTACGACATGTAATAGGTATAGTCACAAAGATACCTAAAAAGATGAAAGATACACAGGTTAAATTGTATTTTGCCTTTTTCATTACTTTTACTGTAAATTCTTTGCAATTTTCAGTACAAAACAAACCTTGTCAGATTGTTTTAAGTCTAGTTTTTTTTCTGCAGTGCTGTATGGGTTTTATTTCCCCAGTTTAAAAACCTAAATTGGTGAAACAATTTGCATATTATGCTTATGATTAATTTATTAATGTTTCTCTTATCTCACCCCAATCTATGAAAAGATACCAGGGGGCTAGTGATAGTGTATGGATTATGTATAATAAAAAAGTGCAACAGTACGCTGAGGCACCTTCATGGAAACCAATGGCCTGTTCTTCCGGTTTGCTGCACTTTCAGAAGTTTCTTTACTTTTACTCAACATTATTATACATGAATCAGCCACAACATAATATGCCATTAGGGAACACTACTTCCATGAAGGGGTGTACATGGACTGCTACACTCTCTAGTTAGTTGTTACATGTCAAAGTAACAATTACACGATTGCCAGGACCCAAGGTTCCCCAGCAGCAGAACATTGACCAGAGCATAACACTGTCTATGACGGCCGTCTTTCTTCCTGTAGTGTGTCCCGCAGCCATCTTTTCCACAGGTAAGCAATGCACATGCATAAATCCATTTGAAAAAGTCTTTTTTGACGAAACGCGTTATGGATATTTAATATTTGTGTTCTTTTATATATATAGAAAATGAGTGAGACCCACAGGGTCAGAATAGGAAGCCCCCTAATGAAATTATATGTATATAAACATAACTTTTAATAAGAAAATTTAAGAACATCCATATAGATAGTCAAGAAATAGATTTAAAAAGTTTGAGAAAATAGGGAGACCAGAGAGAGACTGAATGAAAAATAAATAATAGCTGGAGAGTAATGCAGGGGGTATAAAGAGATACCTTATGGGCAAATGGCTACTAACTCTGTAGTCATGTAAATAGGTATGACTTATGCAGATTAGAAGAAACCCCCCCTATTACATTCTATCCTTCCATAACAGTCTGGTGATATAGTAAAGGCTGGTGCTGCTATTAAGGAGACTCTAGATGGATACACTTCTACAAAGTATCTGACTCACGATGCAAAAAGTATCTAAATGTGGAGGATATCGATATAATTGTAGACATAGAGGTACACAGTAACCTCGCCTGAAAAACTCTTCAAATGAAGGACCACCCACACAAACGCCAGAGAATGAGCCCCACTCCCTTGGAATGGCTAAAGTCTCATTGAAAAAATTCTAAACACCCAACCACACCGCCAAAAAAATCCCTCCAAATCTGGATATAACTGAGATATAAGATAACAGCGGAACTAACTGATCTCCCTGTCTTCTGCCTGCCTAACACGTGTTTCGGCGCTGTGAAACGCGCCTTCGTCTGTTAAAGTATTTTTGGTCATCTATTTGTGCCAATCAACTTTTTTAAAGACACATAACCTTCCTTCCTGCTAACAACACATTAAATTTAAGAACAGACTGTTCACTTGCTACCTAATATATTCCACCCCTTGCCAGATGCCATTGTAACAATATAATAAATGTTATTCACTTCATCTGTCAGTGGTTTTAATTTTGTGGCTGATCAACCTCATTTATACAGTAAAACTGGTGCAATGCAAAGATAAAGTGCAAAAAATTTTGCGAAATAACCATAGTAACCAATTGTATGTTTCTGCTGATTATTAAAAATCGTACTACCTGTGTTTCTTGTTCATCCTACAATAAAGTGATGGCTTGAGAATGCTGCACAATAAAACACTGTCATGCTGAATATGTAAACCTATTATCATTGGAAATCTGTAGGCTTTAGTATATTGACAATTTTTTTTTTTTTTTTAAATTCTTTATTTTTACTCAATAGAATCAGCAAGTGTACATCAACTTTCAGGCTTACGCAGAAGCCAACATGTTCAACATTGTGGGAACATTGCAAAGTTTGCCGAGAAAATAAAACACAAAGAGTAAACAACAAAGACAAGGCAAGGACAATGTGTGCTCCGCCATTTAATGAATCTACTGGCACCTGCCGTCTATCGAGGTGTTTTAAAAAAAAATTTTTAATTACCCCCTTCTAGGATGTACATCAATGATCGGGTAATTCGACAGTTATACGGTCACTTTCGAGCTAATATAGAGGCCTATTAAATTACAATTTAATATAAGAAAAAAGTAATCGTTGTGGTTGTCGTTTGCATATAATTGTAACTTAGTATTGGCTCTCTCCGTTTGTCGGGGAAACTTATGGTAGATAAAGGTACAGGCTAATCTGCAAAAGTTAAGTAGCCATCATATTTGCTGATCAACTTCCTAAGTGTGTTACCTTGTAGTATATTGACAATTTTAATGGGTTTACCCATTAAAATGGATCCTACAGTCCTGGATAAAAACAATACATTTTTGGGGGCTGGGGGAGGAACTAAAGGCTTTCCTTAATGCATTCTGTCACTGTCAACCCCCCCACCCCCCACCCCTCCTTTTGCTTACTTACTTCCCCCACCCACCCAGCACTAAGACTCCTGTGCTGCAGCCTTCATCCCTGCTGACATCACCTGCGATCTCGTCCAATTCAATGCTTCTTATAGAGACGCACTAGGGGCGAGGATGCATGCAATAAAACACGGCACATCTGTAATCAAATTCTGCTATCAAGAGCATTTGATTGAAAAAACACGTCTTACTGTGCTATGGAGGTGGGAGCGCCTCTAGTGGCTGTCAGGAAGACTGCCACTAGAGGCGTGTTTAAACCTTTAATGTAGACATTGCCATTTTAACAATAATGGGTTAAAACTAAAGGGCCACTGCATTGACCAGTTCATTGAGGTCCTTTAACATTTATCTTCTGGCTTGAGAGTTAAGTAGCTGGGCTACAGCTGATTAAAGGGACATTCCACTGCCCGTATAAATATCGCTATTTAGTAGATATTTCCAATGAAAACATGCAATGCATTTAATTGTAATTTTTTTTCATTGGGGTATATCCAAAAATTGTGGGTGGTGGGGGGGGGGAGGGATGTAACAAGTTTAATTTATAAATGTGCAAACTTCTATTAAAAAGCAAAAGGGCTTTAGGGGTCTTGAATGTTCCTTTAAAGGAGCACTATAGGGTCAGGAACACAAACATGTATTCCTTACCCCAATAGGGTTAAAACCACCATCTAGCCACCCTGGTCCCCTCATGCCTCCCTAAATATAGTAAAATGTTACTTGTATTCAAATCTGGAGCTGCTTGCTTTGTCCCTGTTTCTTTTTTACCTGACATCATCAGAAGTGGTAGCCTGATCCAATCACAATGCTTCTCCATAGGATTGGCTGAGACTGACAAAGAGGCAGATCAGGGGCAGAGCCAGCACAATTCAAACACAGCCCTGGTCAATCAGCATCTCCTCATAGAGATGAATTGAATCAATGAAGCTCTAAGAGGAAGGTTCAGTGTCTGCATGCAGAGGGAGGAGATACTGAATGTTTGGATGCATTTTAAGCAGCCATGACCCAGGAAGGATCTCTAACAGCTATCTGAGGAGTGGCCAGTGAAGTTATAACTAGGCTGTAATATAAACACTGCATTTTCTTTGAAAAGACAGTGTTTACAGCAAAAAGCCTGAAGGTAATGATTCTACTCACCAGAACAAATTCAATAAGCTGTAGTTGTTCTGGTGACTATAGTGTCCCTTTTAAGTATACTTGTATTACAGGTTATTAACAAAGATTAGGCTAAAGTCCTAAACAATCCTGATGGATATGATATCTGGAGATAACTGGATTTGTGTGTAACGATACCCCTGCCACAATTTACACCATTTATTAGTAAGTTGGGATGATCAACTAGGACATTTGCTTTTTTGCAGTATGTACAGCATGCATGTTTTGCACTGGAGAAAACATCTTCCGCTGGTTGACTTAAGAAGCACCTCTCATCAGCACTTTCTAAGCCAAATTCTAATATTCCTAAAATAGTTACTTGTTATGGTATTTATGATTTCAGCACTTAAAGAGACCCTGACCTAAATAATTTGTGATCATTTCATGCTTCTAAAGGTGTGCGGAGGGCATAATTTTTAAAATAGGAACCCACAATGAATCTTCCTCAGCCTGCTGTGGCCTACAACACAAATCTTCCTGTAGTTTATCCGGAAAGCACTAAAGCCAATATGGGTTTACCTCCCAGCATCTCTGGAATGGATAACATCAACCCCCAGCTTTGAAATGTTTTTGCAGACACTTTTCATATTAACGACGGATTCCATTCTTTCCGGTCCTTCCAGCAAACAGCAGCCGCCTTGTGGGTGAACGCCGCTGAGGTCCTTCTCCATGTAGCCTTTGTTTCTCCCGCATTGCTCCAGGGCAATTGATTTGGATGAGGACATCATTCCAATGTGCACAGACAGCTAGTGTTCACCATGAAAGAATAACAGGAAATGAACAGAATGCAAACATTTAGGGCAGGTTGTTTATCAGTCTCCCTGCTGCAAAGTCCCATTTGCCAGCAAAACGATTGAGCTAGGCAGAATTCACATTAAAAATAACAAAATGTATGTCATTTTAGGAACATAAGCAAAGCCTATTGCTGTTAGGTTCCAACCTCTTCATTTAAATAATTGCAGCTCATAACAAAATTGACTTAAGTGGTAACGGAGTCAACAATGTAACAGTGACCATCAATCACAGATGTGACATTAATGTCAGTGTTTCTACTTCAAATTGAGGGAAATAATTGGTACAAAAGTGTCTGCAACATTTTTTATTTTTTTTAAAGCAATAGTGTTTTCATTAACAGAAGTCCTGGAGCATCTGGAATTGCTTTAAAACATACCAAAGAAAGGAGGCACACATTTCAAGTCGCTACACCCTAATCTGAAATTATGAAGCGATTAACTATATTATAATTATAGCTTAATGATAAGTATGGGATTTTTATTAATGCTGTAGGAAGTAGTGTTACAATAGATCATAGAAAATGTATTCAGGTAAGCTTTTAGAGTTACTGTAATTTGCAAGGTTTTTTTTTAGTTTATGGTTGGTAATTGTAAGGAATATAATGTGAACAACTTGAATATCATAAAGTCATACTTGCCAAGTGTCCTGATTTTAGTGACACTACTGATTTAGAAAGTGTGACTTTTCTCCTCCTATTTTGTGCACTTGTTCTCCACTACAACACTGATTTCATGGAGGTGTGGGACCAAGTCCTGACATCATCAAGCTGCTGCACTGTGTCAATCTTGACTTTGTGATATGGAATCGATAATGACAATAAAAGATGCCACTGATGGAGCTTAGGTCATTCTAGAAAAAAACAAAACACTGAAGCGTCACACATGTTATATGAGCTTCCATTCAGAGAATATGCAATATGGAGATACCTCCTTTGGCCACTCCCCAGATGTCCACTGGAGGTGCTTCTTGAGGCAGTGATGCACAGTAGGCAGCACTGCCGTTCAGTGTCTCCACACTCTGCATGGAGATGCATTGATTCGGAGGTGGTGATTGTCCAAAACGGCGTTTGATTTTTGAGATGAAGCACAGGATGTACTGTTTCAGATACTGTTTACACCTTTCAGCTACACAAATAAGGGTGGTACGCAGAGAAGAAAGAAAGTTGCATGCCAAATTCGTCACAGTCCTTCTTCCAAAATTTAGATATAAACCTATGGTCCGAGACTATACATTTCGATTACCCATGTAGGTTCATGGTTTTACAGGGGCAAATGCATTGGCCAATTCAGAGGAGGATGGCAGCTTCAGTAGCAAAATAAAATAGCTGTTTTCAAAAACTGGTTGGCAACCTTGAGAATTGTAGGAAAACCACAAAAACAAGTTAACAATAAAATACATAGTACAGTGAAACCTTAGGTGTTCTGAGAATTTCAGGAGAAGACTGGGCCACAAGGAAGGGAATTTGAAACCTTATTTTGGGCACAGGTAGAAAATCAGCAACTAAGTCTTTTAACACATGGCCAGCTACCTAGTCTATATGGGTTAGGAACAAACAAAATGATTTCTCCTAGGAATTTAGATTTTGGAGTGTAAGAGTTGGTGGCTATAATGAAATTTGGATATCAAGTGGTGGAGGTGATTCCTTGTCCCCCTCAGACAGACAAGTCTGGTCAGTGAGGATAATTCCAGGAGAGAAAAAGATGTATAAGGGCTGCGCCAAAAGGAGGAGAACAGTCTAGTAAAATATCGCTAGGATACCAGTGAATAGTCGTGGATATTTGATAGGGTTTCTTGGTGGAGGTAGGTGCGTCTGGTGTTGACCGTTCAGTATATGAAAATACAAGAGAGGTAGAGGCGACCAATGGTGCAGTATGTAAAATTCAAGGTGCAGTAAATAACAAAAGTAGAGAACTCTCATTCGGGAGAGCTATGGCCAGCTCTGGTGTGAATCGCGTACAGCGGTATAATCCCCCCTTATGGGATATGTAGGGAAGGGGTCTCCGTCAACACCGTCTGGAAGTCCAAAACTCGGAAAAGAAAATAGAAAGCAACAATAGTGCTCTCAATTGTGATGGGGTTCAGTGTGCAATAGGTAGAAAAAGGTAGAGAACTCACATTTGAGGGAGCTATGGCCAGCTCTGGTGTGAATAGCGTACAGCGGTATAATCCCCGCTTATGGGATATGTAGCGGCAGTACGTCCGTCAGCACCGTCTGGTAATCCAAAGCTCCAAGAAAGAAGGATAAAAAGCAACAATAGTGCTCTCAATTGTGATGCTTGCCCAGCAAGTCAGTTAGCCGCAAGGCTAACAAGACATTTGCCCTGGGCATTTGGGGGGCATTTTTTTTTGCTGCCCCCTGGAAAATGCCGCCCAAGGCAAATGCCTTGTTTGCCTCGCGGCTAAAACGTCCCTGTATATATATATATATATATGTAATTCAGAACTTAAATGAAATACTAGAAAGTAAGCCCTCTTAAAAACAAGATTTCTGGGGTCGGGGCCTGGCTATCATGACGACTGGATGTGTCTTCTGAGAGCTCCTCTAGTGAGCAAAACTCACTTTTAGGCTGATAAAACTGGATTATGCAACTTGCTACATAATCTTGGCTACAAAAACCAACTGACTGTCCTGGGAGTGCACCCAGCGGTCTTCTAAGCTGATACAGACGGCGAGTACTAGTGCGGCCTAGCTAGTGGTGTGGGGGGAAGATGCGGCCGACCTCGCAGCCCTTCGTGGGTGAGGCTCCAACTAAGCACTTGATACCCTGCTATTCCCCCCCCCCCTCCGGACCGGTGCCCACCCTGACAGCTCCCATGCCCCATCAGAGAGCTGCAGTAGTGCGATTAGTGCCTGCAAGCCCATCAGAGATACATCCAAAATGTCACTACTACAACTATCACTGGAGGTTAAGCACTCCCGATAATTCAGCGTTTTTCAATGCCTCAGCAGGCAGCAGGTTGCACATAGTTTAAGAGAGATTAGGCAGGAGCTCAGGCTAAGTCTTTTAAGACGCAAAATCTTACAAATGTGGCTCAAAACTACAAGCAATGGACATTCACTCTGCACCCATCACTTTTAACATGGTTAGAGGCGTGCTGCTGCAGTACTTACCATTGCCCAGATCTGAGGCCTGCTGAGGCAGGTGCGCGGAAGACTAGAGGAGGTGGGCGACCTCCTGGTTCTGATCGCCCTCCTAACAGCGGACGATCCATTGCCCCGTTACCTCCCCCCTTTGGACCAGTGGGGGATATCTCGGTCCCCACTGGGTTATTCTGCTTTCTTAGCCGAAGCCTGTACTATCGGTACATACTGTGAGTCTAACAAGCTTTGACAGTCAGTGGTGGAGGGGCCAATTTGAGGCCATATGCCAAAACTTCTGGCTCCGGCTCCGTCTCCAGACTCTACCTCCGACACTCATTCCATCAGCCGAACAGAAGGCCCTCTGGGCTTGGATTTAACCTCACGCCACAGTCCAGCAACCCAAGGAATTACCTGTGCAAAGAGCCTGAGGGCCATTTTCCTGCATGAAGATCTCAGATCTCGAAGCATTAGCCTCCTACAGGGCTTGGGGTCAAAGATATGGGCACAATCACAATTGCAACCACTACCTGAGAAGCTGGTTTATATGCAAGCTCTGACATACTTGGTGAGGAAAATTGGAGACAAGATTCCTGGTATGGAGCTGGATTCTCTAGTCTGGCCTGTCTGTGGAGTCGGGTGATTACTTCTTGTGACAACACCTAGTCACAATTTAATTACTACTTATGGTTCGTGAACCGAACAAACACACGGATTGCCCAATTATACCCCAGTACTTTGACCACCTCTTGGCTCGTTAACCCAGTTGACCTCTCCTGACACCTCAGAAGAGCGCTGTTCGGTAGGATTGTTCGCATAAACTAGGCGAACAATTGCTACCTAGGTGTCAGAGAATCTGCTCGGTGTTTTATTTGTTTTTGGACTCCCGAAAGAGACCAACCACCACCACCTTTCTCCTGGAACTATTTTGGGCAGGTGCCATGTGTGCGGTTTGTCAAAACTTTAGCCCGGTGGCGATTCAGCTGTGTTCATGGGATCTGAGTGCTTTTTGGATATGTTGTGTGCATAGATCCAAACTATCTGGGAATACAGGACTTGTGGGGGTCTCTTGTAATATTGTGTGTGTTTTGTGTTTTAAACATTGTAACTCTATGCCAGGGAGATAATTAGTTTAAGCAAAAGTACACTCTATTATCTCCCAGACACAGAGACGCCTTGGAGAGGTTTGTATGTAACTGTATGGAGACCTCCTGCTGGGGGTCTATGTATAAATTGCCTGTACCATTACCCATTAAACCAGCTGACTCTCAGCATTAGGTCTTGGCTAATGTATGTGGGGGAAAGCTATAATCACTCCAGAGCTTTAATCACTTGGCAAGCTTTAATCACTTAGCAGCTATATTACTGACTCCGGTGCAGCAAACTTCCAGAGCGGGGAAAAAGGACATCCTTGGTGGCGAGACCCGTGTCCCTATCCACGTGGCCACCATATCTGGTGGCAGCCGTGGGATGGTTTTTCCCAGGAGTGGATGCTGAATCCGGGACTAGCAGCAGATTAGCGAATGGAGAACGGATAAAAACAGCTAAAGCGATCCAGGACTTGCTGGAGAGCTGGGGATGAATTGCTAGAAACCGTCCGAAAAGAGCTTTAATGGCTGAACTCATGGAACTGGCCCGAACCAAACCTCTCGCCGAAGCGGTTTCACCGAATGCGGAAGAAACCGAACAGATGCAGGATGTTCAGCTTCACCTGGCCTTGTTCAGGCCAAACCCTCCTGCAGAAAAAATCATGCAAGTATTGGTGAATGCAGATGCAGAAGCGAGAGACAAGCGGGAATACCAGCTATGCCTAGCCGAAATCCAGCATTCGTGAGTTCCTGCGATTGAAAGCCC